TCCATGTATATGTCATTCTGAGCTCTCTCTCTCTTTTTTTTTTGTGCTATCATATTAAGTCGTTTATATGAATAAGAACTTTGTCCTCATCCTTACTTCACACATTGATGATACATCTAAGGGTGCATTTTACCAGACTTGCTTGGATGCTGGATCTGACCTACATTTTCCGGATGAGTAAACAGGTTATTGGTTTGTGGGTTCTCATTACCAAAACCATGAGCCCATGATGACCAAACCTGGATGGATGATACATCTAAGGATGACACGATAGACTTGCTTCGGATGCTGGATCTGATCTTTATTTTCAGGAGAGTGAATAGGTTAATATTTTTTTTCAGGACCCACTTCCAAGTAACTATGAGCCTTATGATGACCAAACTTGCATGGGTGAAACATCTAAGGATGCATACTATAGACTGGGATCCGGGATTTCAAATACATTTTCTTGATAATAAACAAGTAAAAGTTATGGGTGCAAGTTTAAAACTCAGAAACTAAAGTTGCTGTCCTTTAAAAAGAGGACTGCAATACATGCAATGGACCATATGCATGTTTTTCTAATTTAAACGAAATTCAATTAAGAAATTTTAAGAAAGTATAGTGAATATTCATGTAGGTTTGTTCAATTTTTCCACAATGATCTGCCTACTTATTACTGATTGTAGTCTCAAAGCAAAATTGTTAAATTTTATCTCCGATTAGCGGCCTTTAGTTTGGTCAGTGTCAAAAATCGGGCTACTTTGATACATGTAACCTATAATGGCTGGGATGTGACATCTGTTCTGGATTTATGCGGAAGAAATCTATCAGGGAAAAAATAGAGATCTGATGGTACACATGTATTACAGCTCTTTAAAACGCATATTTTTTTTTGTCTGAACCCCCCCCCCCCCCCCCCACACACACACACATTTAAAGCCGTTGCTTTTTACAGACCTCTATCAAACAGTATTGGATTGCTGAAATAAAAAAAAATCTGCAGATTCTTGCTGCACAAAACTAATGCCGGTGAAAACTTGTTCTATCTTTTAAAAGCTAGAACTATGTCGTTGAATGACGTTTTTCATTCAAGTTGTTAAGTTACATACGAGTATCTATATACTGCAAGCTCGTCCTACTATTTAAAATGCTTGTTCCATAGAATCAAAGTTTAGTTTGTATATAAATGTTTATGTTAGAGAGATACGCCAATCAATATTTAAATGCAATATTTGGATTTAAAAGCGCTATTTGCCAGTGAATGACATATTCTAATTCGAATAGGGCGAATTATTCTACGGGCAAGTTACCTAAGGTGCGAAGTCTCCAGCATTCTCGTGCATGCGTAGCCTGTCGTTTGCCCATGGCATCCGGTTTAACCTCGCTTATATATTAACTGCGTGGACCTCAGGGTCCACGCAATAAAACAAACGTGGGGGAAGTTTATTTTTCATTCATTCATTTGATTGGCTTGGTTTCTGTTATGAGTCAGTCAGATGATATGAAGCAAAATCTTCGTCATGACAAAGATTTCTGTGATCTTACTATTACAAATTAAAGAACTTCTTAATCGTAACTTTTTTGAGTATGTCAATAAAAGTTAATATAAAGGTTATCATCTTGCTTAATGTATCAAATACATTGTAACATAAAAAATAACTCAAAATGCTTTTAATTTAGCTGTAAATGGAGAATGGTCATCATGGTCAGCCTTTGATCAGTGTAGCTACTTGTGGACCTGGTATTCAGATGAGAAAGCGCACCTGCTCCAATCCAGCTCCAGATCATGGCGGTTTTAATTGGTCTGGAATTTCAACCGAAAGCAGCCAATGCAATTTAAGAGAATGTCCAGGTTTAGTAATGATATAAATTTTAAACTATCCAAATAAATACTGCTACCCCCAAAACATTAAGCTTTTTTACGGTTAGATTAATTTTCAATTTCATTATTTTCTTAATATTTATGTTTAAATAGCATTGTTTTGATACACCATGATTCTTTTTGCAGTAAATGGAACCTGGAGTGTGTGGGGAAGCTACAGTACTTGTGACAAATCATGTGGAGGAGGTTGGAAAGTGCGATTCAGAGACTGCTCTAATCCTGCCCCTGCAAATGGCGGTCTTCCGTGCTATGGAAATTCAGTTCAACCAACTGGTTGTAATATGATTCACTGTCCAGGTATGCAAATCAACAACTACATAGTATCATGGTACAAAGTTGTTAAAATTTTCTTAGGGTATCTTACCAATATTAACACCTATTTTTTTCAACTTTAATATCAATCGTGTATACTCGTTCACTGTTTCAAAGCATTTTAGACTAGGAAAGTGTTTTCCAAGAGAAATTTTCTAAAATTGAATTACCTAAGCAGTAATTTATCTTTCAAGATTGCACTAAAGTTTTTGGAAAAAAAGTATTTTTAGCTCACCTTAGCCGAAAGTCCAAGTGAGCTTTTCTTGTGACATTTTGTCCGTCGTCCGTCTGTCTGTCTGTCCGTCTGTAAACTTTTCTTCTTCACATATTCGACTTCTTCTCAAGAACCACTGAACGAATTTTGATCAAACTTGATACAAGGCATCCTTTGGTGAAGGAAATTTAAATTGTTATAATTTAAGGGTTTAAGATCTCTCATAAGGGAGATATATATAAATATATGTAGGGTGGGGTCATTAAACAAACTTTTCAAGAACCACTGGGCCAGAAAAAATGAAACATGTGTGGAAGCATCCCGGGGTAATGTAGATTCTAAATTGTTCAAATCATGACCCCCGGGAGTAGGGCATGGCCGAAATTGGGAATCAAATTTTTACATAGTAATATGTAGGAAAAAACTTCAAAATCTTCTTCTCAAGAATCACAAGTCAGAAAAGTTGAAACTTATGTGGTAGCATCCTGGGAAAGTGCAGTTTTTAAAGTGTCTAAATTATGAACTCTGGGGTAGGGTGGGGTCACAATATGAATTACATGGGGGAATCTAGTAAAGAAGAGTATGGTCAAAACGTCTCAGGTGAGCGATGTGGCACATGGGCCTCTTGTTGTTACTTGTTTTGAAAAAAAAGTCTAGAAATATCAAACAATTATACGGTGGAGAGATATATTTTATGGTCTATTGTTTAACATCCCTCTGAGGAATTTTTTCTTATATGGAGACGCCACCACTTGCCGGTGGAGAGCTGGAAATTATTTCCTATACTTTGCACTCAGAGCCATTGAGCAGAGAGGGGTCTTTTTCGTAAGAGCACCTACTGCGACACGGGACCTCGGTTTATCCGGTCTTATTCGAAAGACCGGTCTCCACGTCACACAGTGGGATTCGTAAGAATCAATTCTAAAATTTGCGACCTTACAGTAGACACTCTAACCACTGCGCAAGAAGGGCGACAAGATGTACTTGAATATAAGGGATAGAAAATGATTAAAATTATAGATTTTTAAATAAATTATCTTTATTTAATAAAATCAAAGGGGGTAAATCTTCAAGAACAGGGGAATGTCATGAATAAGGTTTTATTCCGCTCTTTCATACTGATAATAAAACATGAAAATTATGTCTAAATATATCCAGCCAATACGAGGGCTGATCCAAAAAATGTGGAATTTCTTATATTTTATTGAATTTTTAAGGTATTCTATCCCTAATAGCAACAGATTTATTGAAATTGAATTCATTACAGATGTGTAGGTGGTGAATAATTTGTATATTTAGATATAAATCCAATTTATTATTATTAGCATTAAGGATGGGATGTGACCTAATTTATGACCTTGAATTTTGGTAATAGTTATCTCCCTTTATTTTTATGAATAAAAAATCGATATAAAAAAATTAATATGGGCAAAATATTATTTTAAATCTTATTAGGGTAAGATCACTGAGATGCGTGTATAACGTGACGTGACATACTTAACCTGACGTTACGACGAAGGATCCCCGGGTTTTACAATTAATCATTTTCGGAAAGTTGATGTGACCTTATTGGTTATTGGAACGTTGTAAAATTTGCCAGTATTGTTACATTATGACTCTACATTATAAATTTACCTGTTGTTTGCTTTCAACAAATCATGATAAAATTTTAGAAAGAAATTCCACGAACTTTTGGATCAACCCTCGTATATAATTGTTGTGAATTTACTCTAAAATCACTGAACCAGTTTCAACTATCTTTTGTATGAGGGGCTAATATGGTTCGGATATCTTATGATTAATCCATACACTTACAAGAAACAACTGCGCTGATGAACACTTTTTCCCATGTATTAGTTGATGGAGGCTGGTCATCATGGTCAAATTTCAGTCAGTGTAGTAGAAGTTGTGAACAAGGTGTCCAATCTAAATCTCGAACGTGTTAAAGTCCGTCTCCAGCCTATGGAGGTCAACATTGTTCAGGAAATTCAAAGGAGAGCAGAATATGTAATCTCAGGGAATATCCAGGTTTATCTCTTTAATTTTCTAAACACGAAAAACCTATATATATATGAAAAGTTACGTGTAACTATAGAAAAAGTACTTTGAAACAAGCTCATTGCATTTAATATATGTTCTTTTTCTTATTCGAATAATGCAAGGATATCTATCTCAAAGATAAGGAATAATAATTAACAAAACCATATACGAGATAATATACATTTATCTTATTGTGATGCATTTAAGTTGATGGGAATTGGGGTCAGTGGGGTGACTTTCGTCCGTGTGACATGACGTGTGGTGGCGGATTTCATATGAGAATGAGAGAATGTAACAACCCTCCGCCCTCACACGGGGGAATGGTTTGTCCTGGTCAGTGCTTACAAGCTGAGACATGCAACACTCAACCATGCCCAGGTATCAAATCTTTGTAGACAAAAAGTAGTGATACATACATAAATGTACGAATAAATTCGATTGAAACTTTTTTTTCTTTTCAGATGAGACGAAAACCACAAGATCATCAAGTGATTTATTGATTGGATAATATCTTTGATTAATTTTAAAGGATGTAAAGTTCAACAAAGATTGAAAGATTTTTTTGTTTAATATTAGAGACATATCGTAGTCATAAGCATAGCGCTTTCTATTCTTTTGTATACTTCCTACATTAGTGTAACATTATTGACGTGACATCTGTGTTGGAAATATTTGTAGACTGACAATTCAAAAAAAAAAAAAAAAAAAAAAAAAACAGACTGAAAAGTTACTTCTGAAAATTGTTTGAAGCATGTTTTATAATTACATGTAATTCTTTCTTTCTTTTCTTATCTAAATCTGTCTGTTGTCTGTCGTCGTTGGTGTCGTTGTAAACTTTTCACATTTTCATCTTCTCAGGAACCACTGGGCCAGTTTCAACCATACTTGCCACTAAATATCCTTGGGTTAAGGGAATTCACATTTGTTCTAATGAAGGGCTACGTACCCCATCCTTCCAAGTGAAGATGATTATGAATTAATGATAAATTGTATTCCAGGCCCAAGCTCATTGTATTGACCATTGAACTTATGAAATGATTACTTTAAACGAGACTGCTGATATTTTTATTTCATCAACTTGCTTGTCAATAATTTACCTCGTTCTAGAAATTGTTCATACGTAGATCATGCTCTTACGAATCGAATCAGGTGAGATATATATACTCCGTATGCAGGTGATGAAGGTATATAACCGCATAAGGTTGGGAAGTTGACGATAGAAAAGTTAAAGTCATCACGTTCATCATATAGCTTTGTTGTTAGATTACTATTAACGTCTTTTTCAAATAAAATATCCAAGTAAGAAACAGATGTATCAAACTTTGTGGTATCTTTTATATCAAGCTCTCCAGGATATATCGTATCGACGTAGGAATGAAAATTACCATTATTAATTGACAATACGTCGTTGATATTTCTAAATGTCGAGTTGAAGGCCTCAGAAGTGTTTTCGTCATTTCACACATAATATTTTGCACAAATTCTGCTGTGAATACAAAAATAAGTATGCTTATAACGGAGCGCAATTGGTACTCATGGGAATTCCAAAAGATTGTTGGAAGACCTGGTCTCCAAAAACCAAAAACTTCAGAGTACTTGTGTGTGCAATCAGAATGTGTTTTAACAAAATAATTTTGCAAATGATCAATGACCAGGTAAGTAAATTCCATTTTATTGAAAAAGCAGCTGTCAATGATATCAAAAAGCATGGACTTTAAGTTATCTTAGGGAATGGTTGTGTATAAAGTTGAAAAGTCGTAAGTTTTTTTGCTGTTGACATTGGTAAGATCATGTAATTTTAAGTTGTCCAAAAGTTCTTTGAAATTTTTGAGTATCCATATCTGATTCACACCACTTCTTGAATATATTGTTGCACAGTACTCTTTAAGTTTTTCCTTCAATTCTGTCAATATTGTAGTGAGTAGTAACGAAAGAGGCTTGGTTGAACATTTACTGGAACCTGCAATGTATCTTTGTTTGTAAGGTTTCTTATGAAGTTTCGGAATCCAATAAATATACAGGGTAGTTCATATTCAATTTGGCTCTGTGGAGTATCAAAAATATTTGAAACTGACATATGATTTTGAAGAATTTCTTGCTTAGAAAGAAAAGTTAGAGTATAAGAAGGATACAAAAATCTTCTAAAATACAATTTATCTAATGAGCCTTACAAATGAAGACAATGTTGTTACCTGCTTTGTCAGGAGGGACTAGTACGTCCTGATCATGTCATCTATCTGATTCTTTTTTTCACTTCTGGTTTTATTGAACACAGAAGGATAGATGGTTTTCATATTGCCCCCAATCATTTATTACGCGACTTTAACACGGATCTGAAACATTTAATCCATTCTGACAAAGTGTCAACGACATCAAAAACATTTTGATTTTTTTCACATGCACTCTAAGTGATAATGAAGTACATGTACCTGATGAAATGATAGATTTTCAGAAATTGTAACAAAAGTAGAATTACTTTAAATTAGTACCAAGGCATACATGAAATAAATTAAAGTTATATTAAAACTTTTTCACTTTTCAAAATGCTACAAAATTTTAGTGAGAGGTATTTGCCTCACTGGCCTCAACGGTAGTTTCAGTCCTTGAATACTTTTTATTATCTCCATGTTTTATTTGAAAAGGGAAGCTCATATAAACTACTGTATGATTGTGTACTTTAAAAAGCGGGCTTCATAATTTAGTGGCTTTTGCGCAGACAACAATGCGCCAATGCATGAATACCGCTAAGAAATCATTTGAATATACAATACACTGAACGGACATGTGCAGCACTAATTTATAACGTCAACAACTCTATACCCAGTGATTAATTTTGAGTACGCCAAATTAAGTACTCCAATTGCATGTAATTTTTTCTATTTTAAAAATTATTTATTTATTGCAAAATGATGTGTATTCAATATTGCTGAGTTTTTACAGCAATTACATTCTGATGTTGACTTTCATTTTAAAATAAATACAGTCAATGTACATAGGTAATGTGCAATTAAGTGAGCTAAAAAAATTTCCAGTCTTTTTTTTCAATCTTACAGGTGTATTTTAACATTGTTGTAAGCTTGACTATCAGTTCTACGTATTTTGTCTTTTCAAAAGTCTAAAATTGCTTTTATTGGGTCCGTCATACAAAGATATTGACAGATCTTTTCCATCTTTGATGATCAATTGTTTAATTTATTGGTACATACCTTTGACATTAGGAGGAATTGGAGATAGCTTTAACGATTTTATGTCATCTAAAAAGAAAATATATGTATAAATAATTCATTTATTTCAGGGGGCCAGGGTTCGAATCCTGGGTTGGTCCGCTGCATTTTCTCCTCTCCCGTTACAGAAGGATATGGAGATAACGAACAGTATTCAATATCAAACTCCATAAAACAATACAAAAAAAGGAGCAGAACAAACAAAAATTTTCTTCAATGAAGGGTCAGTGTACTTAGAGATCAACTGAGTAATTATCAAAGGTTACACAGGTATAAACAGGTGATAACAAGAATCGTGTACATAACTGATCAACTGAAAGGTGGCAAGTACAGTCCAGATTTCCAACGTCCATAACTTATACATGTATGTTCTAATGCCTGAGATTATTTCGCTTCAAGAAATTGGGACTAGTGACCAGTAATTAATTTTCAAAATCATAAATGTACTTTTTTTAAAACTAAAACTTAACATGAAAGAAGAAAGCATGAAATATATGCATATGGAGATACGAACCGTATTCAAAATCAGAAATCCATTAAACAATACAAAATAGGAGCAGAGCAAACACGTATCTGACTGTCAATTTCTTTTTGTACAAATGTAGTTTTTAAAAATGAGATCTGCCAAATTTCTGTTGAATTTCCAATGAAAACCAAGAACACCCCATTATTAGTAGACCAGATATTTTGTAATATACAAAGATTTTTACATGCCATAAAACTTTGCTTAGGCTTCACATTAACTTGCTTAAATTCACATTAAGATTTATCGATGAAGTATTATCTATTAACAATAGTTACTACTATTCATATGTCTATTAAAAAAATCTCGGTGAACTAGAAATAAAAGAGAACACAAAATATTTGGATATTGTACAATGAAACATATGGCGATAACGAACAGTTTTCAAATTCATAATTCCATACAAAACAATTCAAATTAAGAGCAGAGCAAACACGGGCCTCCAAAACATCAGAAGTGCGATCAGGTGCCATGGAGGAGTAAGCATCCCCTGCCTCCATGTCATGATCGGGAAATAACGGAAAAATCCGTCGTCAATTCAGTGCATAATTAATGGGCTAACAATTAGTATGAAAATCGTCAGTCAGCATTTCACTCAATACTAGTAATAAATTGTATTTGCTGACAAGGTCATTGTATCGACCATAGAACTTAAGAAATGATTACTTTAAACTAGACTGCTGATATTCTTGTTTCACCAACTTGCTTGTCAATAATTTACCTCGTTTTGGAAAATGCTCATACGTAGAGCATAAGCATGCGTATCGAATCAACTGAGATATATTCACTCTGTATGCAGGTGATAAAGGTATATTGCTAAAAAAGTAAGGGAAGTTGATGATAAAAAATGTTAAAGTCATCACGTTTATCATATAGCTTGGTTGTCAGATTAATATTAACGTCCTTTGCAAGTAAAATATCCAAGTATGAAACAGAAGTATTAGACTCTGTGGTATCTTTTATATCAAACTCTCCAGGATATATCGTATCGACGTAGGAATGAAAATTACCATTATTAATTGATAATACGTCTTTGATATATCTAAATGTCGAGTTGAAGGCCACAGCAAGTGTTTTCTTCTTTTCACGCACAGGATTTTGCACAAATGTTGCTGTGAATACAAAAATAGGTCTGCTAATAACGGAGCGCAATTTGTACCCATGGGAGTTCCAATAGATTGTTGGAGGACCTGGTCTCCAAAAACTCAACAGATATTGTCAATCAGAAACTCAAGCATCTTTTTGATGTCAACTTCAGAGTACTTGTGTGTACAATAAGAATGTGTTTTAACAAAATGATATTGTAAATGACCAATGACCAGGTTAGTAAATTTACGAGTTCCATTTTTATTGAAAAAGCAGCTGTCGATATCAAAAAGCCTGGGCTTTGAATTATCATGGGGAATGATTGTGTATAAAGTTGAAAAGTCGTAAGTTTTTAAGCTGTTAATTTTGGTAAAATCTTGTGATTTCAAATTGTCCAAAAGTTCTTTGTAATTTTTGAGTATCCACATCTGATTCTCACCACTTCTTGAATATAATATTGCAAAGAAACAAAAACCAATAACGAAAACTAAATGGACAAAAGAATTCAATATAATAAATTGTCAATGAAAAATATTTTTCCAGCTAAGATACTAAATAATTTTGATAAACATATAGCAGAATTCAATTTAAACTTTTGCACAACCTCACTAAATTGAAAATCATGTAAGTAATAGGAATAAAGAGGTGAGAAAAAATTTCAACTTTCGGACA